CGTCGGGCGCGCAAGAAGAATATGCTCTCGACTACCTTCTGAACGGTGTATACCACCTCAGCTCCGGGAACGCCGAGGACTCCATCGAGTTGTTCGGACCGCCGCCGGTAAGGATGCCCTGTTGCCAGCAACGGCGTTGGCCGTGGCGTTGGTTGCCGTAGATGAGGTCCAACGCAACGACTTGTCGCAGCAGGATCTCCTGGAGGAGGATCCGGCTAACGACCTTCCCCGCGAGAGACTTACGCGGTCGCAGAGACAGAAGAAAGACGTGGAGACATGCGCTTGGGCACAGCTGTTGGAGGATAAAGACCTCGAGGACAGCACGAGCATCACCGCGAAGCAGTTTCGAGGGGACTTCCGCGTACCCTTCACCTTCTTCCTTCGGCTTGTTGCCTTGGTCAAAAGCAAGAACTGGTTCTCGACTGCTGTGACGGACGCCGTAGGTCGGGCAAGTCACCCAGGGGAGCACAAGGTAAGCTGAATAGATGCTGGATTGTTGGAGTACAGACTCTCTGTCCACAACCAATTAGACTCCTGCAGTAACACAATGCAGAGTTGGACAAAGCCAGCACGGCAGTTCTTTCTTCAATTGCATGCCGTCTCCAGTACATCTATCCCTTGCACACTGCTTCTCGACTGCTGGTCGCGCTCGGCAGTCTTGTGATGCACCCGGTCGCCCTTCTGTCGTGCACTGCACAGCATAATTATTAGGAGAAACAAATATACACACAGAAAGACTACCCGTTCGAGGTATAACTACACTCGAAGGGGATGTGTTGAAGTCTTTACAGTGAGTAGAGGAAAACCAGCTGGGTACTTGACTTATTTCGAGTTTGTTTAAGCCTATACACTGATGATTTATATCAGTGATACCAGTTGGTGCTTAGCACAAAGACATCTGCGTAGGTACATTTACATGTGGCCTGCACAGGGAACACGGCGCAATATGTCATGTTGACAGTAGTTGCTGGTTTAATTTAGAAAAATACATATATTAGGAAAAACAAATAGTCTATGCACATAGAATGACTACCCGTTAAACACATAAAAGTTCCCTGTTCGAGCGAAAATCATAGTCGTTCGAGGGGGGCTTTTTACAGCAGTATTTAGGAAAAACAAGTATACGTGCAGAAAGGCTACAGCATGTACACATGCATCATCATTATGACAATCTCTCTATTCAACTGTCATTTTAGGTACGTATCTACATACAGTCATGTATGCTACCATTTCAACAGATACATTTGCTGTATATTGGATGGGTTAAAACCTAGGGTGTGCGGTTAGATGTCGGAAGACAAATCACGCATATGAACGTGGCACCAGATCAGACCAATGGCACGTCATTACACCAGTTTTAACTAGGGTACTTCGGCTACCTCATGGGGCCGTCTCGAAGCACTTGTCAATATTAGGAGAAACAAATATACACACAGAAAGACTACCCGTTCGAGGTATAACTACACTCGAAGGGGATGTGTTGAAGTCTTTACAGTGAGTAGAGGAAAACCAGCTGGGTACTTGACTTATTTCGAGTTTGTTTAAGCCTATACACTGATGATTTATATCAGTGATACCAGTTGGTGCTTAGCACAAAAACATCTGCGTAGGTACATTTACATGTGGCCTGCACAGGGAACACGGCGCAATATGTCATGTTGACAGTAGTTGCTGGTTTAATTTAGAAAAATACATATATTAGGAAAAACAAATATGCACACAGAAAGACTACCCGTTAAACACATAAAAGCTCCCTGTTCGAGCGAAAATCATAGTCGTTCGAGGGGGGCTTTTTACAGCAGTATTTAGGAAAAAAAAGTATACGTGCAGAAAGGCTACAGCATGTACATATGCATCATCATTATAACAATCTCTCTATTCAACTGTCATTTTAGGTACGTATCTACATACAGTCATGTATGCTACCATTTCAACAGATACATTTGCTGTATATTGGATGGGTTAAAACCTAGGGTGTGCGGTTAGATGTCGGAAGACAAATCACGCATATGAACGTGGCACCAGATCAGACCAATGGCACGTCATTACACCAGAATAGATCAAGTCATCGGGTTTATGCAATCATTGGCTGCCCCATCAAGCAGCAGCACGAGACTTCCCTGTATTTCTCCGGTGTGTCGTAGCCATGTTGTAGAGTATCCTTCAGCAAGGGCAGCAGCAGCATCAGTGAGTAGTACACATCTTCGTGTTGAGCAGTAGTGGTGGATCTTATTGGTGTGGTACTCGACGAGAAATATTGAGACCGGAAAGCTCTGCAGGTGTAGCTATTTTATGCAGTTTGTGTCAACCATGTACCCTGTACCCATGTACAGCAGTACAGCAGTACACAAGCAGCGAAAATCGTTCGTAACCTCGGTACTGCTGTACAGCAGGTATTAATTAACAGCACTGCAGGATCACTGCTGTACGTAGAGCTGCGCCTACTACTGTAGGCGGCAGGAAGATACTGCTGTATATCTACGTTGGGTCGAGATGCCGAGATAAGGCTGGAGAGGAGATTCGAGTCACCTCGTACAAGCGTTTGTTTGCTGTCGTATGTACAGCGCAAAACTCAGTCCTCCACCCGGTAAGATGCTTCCGCGCGCGGACAACAGCAGTACAATGACCATGTGTACGCCTTGTATCCCCGTGTGTACATGCGTTGGTGACTTGGTGCTGCAGGTGCTGGCCTGGCTGACCATACTGGGGAAGGGCAACTGCTTTGCAAGCATATTCCAGATGTCGTGGATGAGCGCGAAGACCGTGCAGGGGGTGTTCCACAAGTTCTGCAGGCTCTTCGCACGGGAGATGTACGATGAACACATTCACCTCCCGGCGGAAGAGAGCGGCAAGCTGCACCACGTCATGAAGCAGTACGATCGGCTTGGGTTTACGGGAGCGGTGGGTTCTATGGACGTCACACATATCGCTTAGAGCAGGTGCCCCTACAACCAAGCCCGTTCGTACACAGGCAAGGATTGGTTTCCCACGATCGCGTACCAGGTCACGGTTGATCACGCTAGCCGGGCAATTGCCGTGACTGAGGGTTTCACCGGCTCGACGAACGACAAGACCATCGTCTGCTGGGATGCCGCGGTGGATAAGATTCGGACGGACAAGCAGTACACGGAGAAGACGTTCGACCTGTACAACGAGGACGGCACGACGACGACGCTCAAGGGGTGCTACTTCCTAGATGACAACGGGTACCACAAGGTGCATATAAATTAAGTACCGTGTGCTTGAGTGGCGAAAACATTTGTTTGGTAGAGACATGTGTCCGGCCTGAGACAGAGAGTGTAGACAAGACAGATACAGACAGAGAGAAAGAGAGAGCGCTGGCCAGCAAAGTCTTTGTTGTCGGGGAAAATGACGCAGCAGCTACTTTCGGACCGTTTCAACGCAAATCGTTCATGGTGTTGAGATGTCGGATACGGCAATCAAAACCTCGGCTGGCCGCTCTTGCAATCTACTCCGGTGTTTCATAGCTGCTGTTATTTTTAGAGCGCCTCCCTTCAACCCCGAAGCCCCCCCTTGAGTCTCCGAGTATAAATTTCACAGCTTTTAACAACGTAGCACCGAACCCGTCTTCGCTTTCCTTCTCTCTGTCACGTGTCTCCAGTGGCAAATCCTGATCGAGCCCTCCAAGTACCCGCTGAGCGAGGACGACCTGCTCTTTTCGAAGAGGCTGGAGAGCGTACGCAAGGACGTGGAGTGCTTCTTCGGCATCCTGAAGGGTCGCTTCAGGATCCTCAAGCTCGCCATGGCGTACCAGAGCCAGGAGCGCATCGACAACGTGTTTTTCACGTGCTGCATCTTGCACAACATGCTGCACACCTTCGACGGCATGGACCAGCTGGTGGAGAACACGAACTGGGTTAGCAGTGCTGGGGTGGGGACCACGTTGGCGACGGAGCCGGAGGCAGACTGTGGATCTTTTGGGACGAAGGACGTCAACGACCAGCCTCAATTGGAGATCGGGCACACGGTGCGCAAGCGACAGCTCACCACGAGCTTCGCGTACCGCAAGAAGCACAAGAAGGACATTGTCTGGCTTTCTAGGTAGATCGAATGCGGTGTGTTGCAGCGTATTGCGTGTGTTGGGTCGCTCTTCAGCCGCAAACGTTGGTACGCCCTCCGACCACTGTTTGATTTTCTTGTTGCCGCCGGCGTTTTTTTTTCGCAGTACGGGCATCGGCAACAATGCTTTTGATTGCCCCCCCCTCCCCGTCCNTCGAACAACAAGAAGCACAAAAAGGACATCGCTTGGCTTTCTAGGTAGATCGAATCCGGTGTGTTGCAGCGTATTGCATGTGTTGAGTCGCTGTTCTGCCGCATCTGGTCATCTTTTAGAAAACGTTGGTACACCCTCCGACCACTGTTTGATTTTCTTTTGGCCGCCAGCATTATTTTTTCGCAGTACGGGCGTCGGCAACGATGCTTTCGATTGCCCCCTCCCTCCCCGTCCCCTGTACCCACGTTTTTTTTTATGCCACCCGACCTGTCTTGTGTTTGGCCGTGTTTGTCTTGTAGGCTTGTTGACGTTTTTTTTGCGTACGGGCTACTGCAGTAATATTTGTATAACCTGCTTCTTGTTGTACACAGGCGTTGGAGCACCCGCCAACCTGTCTTGTCCCTGGGTGCTTGTTTTCGTTCTTGTCCCCGGGTGTTCGTTTTTCGTTCTTGTCCCTGGGTGTTCGTTTTTCGCTCTTGCCGCATGCGTTCCTTTTTGTTGTACNGCGTTGGAGCACCCGCCAACCTGTCTTGTCCCTGGGTGCTTGTTTTCGTTCTTGTCCCCGGGTGTTCGTTTTTCGTTCTTGTCCCTGGGTGTTCGTTTTTCGCTCTTGCCGCATGCGTTCCTTTTTGTTGTACCAGGTACGAGCTTCGACAGTAATGCTTTTTCT